CTAACGGCTCTGGTAGACTCTGACCGGACGTAGCAGCACGATCCATATGTCTTCAACGACGCATCGGAGAAGAAGTGGAGCTGGAAAGATGTTGTGTTGGTCAATGATACACAGCGAGAAATCCGGAGTGTGGCGATTGTATCGAGCGTTCCATGCAGCACGATCCAAGAATTCCATGGAATTCTTTCCACTCGGACAGGAGATGTGGAGAAAGAGAGCAATCCCACTCGTATGGATCTCCGGTTTCGGTTTTCCGTGCCCATAGGCGCTGCATAAACAGCTTGACGATGACTATTATTGGAATCCACCAGGTCAAGTGGGTCGAAAATCTGCGCAACGTACAACATAACATTCCGTTTGGTCACAACGGGTGCTGGTAACGGCAGCTGAACCTTGAAATTCATCATGTCGGATCTCAGTTTTAAGATGAGTCCGAGAGTGGAAATGCCCACTTCTTCTTGGCGAATGCGGATGGTGGATTCAACATTGCCGGCACCAGAAAGGAAGTCATCTACATAAAAATCCTTCTGGGCTACCGCAGCTGTGGTTGGATTGTTCTCGGCTGTGTCTTGCGCAATCTGCAGGATGGTGCGAGTTGTCAGGAACGGAGAGGACGCAAAACCATACGTTACTGTTTGCAGCTCGTACGTAGAGATTGGTTGATCTGGACTGGGAAGCCAGAGGATAACTTGATATCGTCGGAAAAGGTAGTGCAGCAGGATTTGGCGACGAATGCGGAATCTGATGTGGATCGACAGTAGATCTTCTTGAACGACGGGTCCAACTAGTTGTAGGTCGTTCACGGAGATCTACTGTCGGCATCGAACACAACTCGAACTTTCGCGGTGGTGCTGGATTCTTTGAACACCGGATGGTGTGCGAGCCAGCAGTGTGGCTGGCTTTCATCTACTGAATCCAGGAGTTTCATCATGTGATTCAGGTGTTCGTACTCTTCCATGAGGCGACAGTAGGCCTCTTTGGTGGTTAGATCTCGCTCAAGTCGTTTTTCGAGGTTCAGGAAGTGGTGCTCGTCGATTGAACGTGATTCACCGAGAGTGACGAGCGGATCGCGGGTGAGTGGCAAGGAAACGGTATAACGACCCAACGTCGAGATTTTCAGAGATTTTCTCCTGCCGTGGATCGAGTCACAGAGATTTTCTTCTGCCGTATACTTAGGACAGGGTTCGACAACTTCAGGTGATTGTATGGAAACTTTTCCGGAAACAGTCCATCCGAAAGAGGTATCGACGAATAGAGGTTGCCGTTCGTCGCAGGAAATTTTACTGCCAGTATGCAGTTTGTGGTACACTTCTCCACCTACAATCAGGTCAATGTCGGCTGGAATGAGAATGCTTGAATCAGCTAACGGAACTTCAGGAAACTTCCACGAGGAAACTTCAAACGGCATGGTTGGCAGGCAGACTGTGGGTTTTTTGAGGATGAGGAACTCGAGCATAGTATTATAGTACGAAGGAGGTTAAGTATGCTCGCAAGCTTCTTCGTGATGAAGCTGCTCATCGATCCTGAATCTAGGAGTGCACGAGCGGAAAACTCTTTGCCAACCTGGTCCACAACTAGGAAGTTGACCGTTTCCAACAGGACCGTGGATTGGTACGACTGTACCGACAAGCTCCGGGGCTTTCAATAGCAGTCAACGTGGATGGATTCGGTTGTTGGGCTGGCTGACCAGATATGTCAACTGTAGTGGATTTTACCTTCGGGGCTACAATTTCGTGCAGTAGTGCATGGTGTTTCTGGTGACAGTCGTAGCGTTTCAGTAGAGCGTCCCAAGTTAACGCATAATTATCCGCGATTATGTCGATCGACTCGAATGACTTGTAAGTTTCTCCTTCCTGGGACTGCAGAAGGTACTTCTACCACACGACAGTCGGAATGGCCGTGTTAAAATGGACAATGGAGGTGAACGTATCCCCGAAGGAAAGCCATCTAAAAAAGTCTCCAACGAATAATTTAGGGAGATCGACCTTGGGCAACCGTTTGAAGAAATTGAAAAGTACGATGGCACTCAGAAGTTTGAGGAGCATCTGCAAGAGCGAGCAGCGTTTGAGGGATTTCTTCGCTTCATCAGAAGAAATCCTTCGAACGCTGCTCCTCAAACTTCTCAGTGCCATTGTATTTTTCAATCTCCGCTTGCAGCTCCTGGTACTTACTGCAGACTCTGTCCTCCGCTTCAAAACGGATTGGAATCTAGTACACATCGTTTCAAAGGTATTACGAGTTCGTCGGATTAAATTTATACTCTTGTACGATGCAAAAACGATTCATCGTATGAAGGTCAAAATTTTGAATTATATACGATGAAACTTTAACTTTATGGGATGAAATTAATTCTTATATGCGATTTGGACTAAATCTGTAGTACTTCCTTAAACGACTTCTGATTATCTGGGCAGGGATGTTCCAGGTAAAATTCATAGAAGCTCCAAGCGAAATTTATAGAAATTCTTTAGAGAAGTTGCAAGCGAACTCTAGAGAAGTTCCAAGGGAACATTTAGGACATTACAAGCGATATTCAAGTTCACGGATCTTCGGACAAGCTTTCAACATTTATAAAAAGTCACGGAACTTCCAAGAAGTTCATGAAATTTCCAAGAAGCTTATGAAACTTCAAGGAAGTTAACGGAATTTCCAACAAGTTCGCTTAATTTCTAAAAAGTTTAGGCGACTTCAAGTAAATTTATGTAGCTTCCAAAAAGTTTAAGGAACTTCCAAGAAATTAATGCAACTTTCAAAATGTTTACGGAAGTTTCAAGAAGCTTACAGAACTTACAAGAAGTGTTCAGAGCTCACGGAGCTTTCGACAAGTTCACGAAAGTGCTGAGAAGTTCATGCAAATTCCTAGTGAACTTTAGAGATTTTCCAAGCGTTCAGAGAAGATGCGTTAAATTTTCAGAAAAATTCCGTGGGAATATCAAGGATATTCCAAGGGAACTTCATAAACGTTTTCAGCAAACGTCAGGGAAGGTCCAAGTGAAATTCAAAGAAAAACTTACCTTACCAATCAGGCTAAGGCCTTGTTGTCCTCTGCTGTCCAAAGAAGTCGTCTCCACTGTACTCGATCCATGGCCACAGCCAGGTAGTCTGCGAAGGGTCCGCAGGTCACCTTCTACTTGGTCGATCTACCTTGCCCGCTGCGCGCCTCTTCTTCTTGTTTCTGTTGGATCACTTTCTAGAACCATTTTCACTGGGTCGTCGTGCGGCATTTTTGCGACGTGCCCAGCCCACCGTAGTCGCCCAATTTTTGCAATGTGGACAATGGATGGTTCTCCCAGCAGCTGGTGCAATTCGTGGTTCATTCGCCTCCTCCACGTTCCTTCATCCATCTGCACTCCACCGTAGATGGTACGCACCACCTTCCGTTCGAAAACACCAAGTTGGTCCTCCACGAGCATAGTCCAGGTCTCGTGGCCGTAGAGAACCACCGGTCTAATCAGCGTCTTGTAGACAGTCAACTTCGAGCAGCGGCGAATTTTATTCGACCGGAGCGTCCTCCGGAGTCCAAAGTAGGCACGATTCCCTGCCATAATGCGTCTTTGAATTTCTCTGCTGGTATCATTTTCGGCGGTCACCAGTGAGCCCAAATACACGAACTCATCGACCACCTCGGTTTCGTCACCGTCAATCTGAACTCGGGGTGGGAGGCTAACATTGTCTTCCCTAGAACCTCTTCCTTTCATGTATTTTGTCTTTGATGCGTTGATGGCAAGTCCAATCCGCCTAGCTTCAACCTTCAGTCTGATGTACGTTTCCGCCATCATCTCAAAGTTCCGTGCCATAATGTCAATGTCATCGGCGAAGCCAAGGAGCTGGATGGACTTCCTGAATATCGTGCCACTCGTGTCTATCCCAGCTCTTCTGATCACATCTTCTAACGCGATGTTGAACAGCAGAAAGTCCATTACCTTGCCGTAACCCCCTTAGAGATTCAAAGGGACTCGAGAATGTCCCCGATACTCGAACAACGCACATCACTCGATCCATCGTCGCCTTGACCAACCGCGTCAGTTTATCCGGAAATCCGTACTCGTGGAAATTCAAAGAAGTTCCAAGCGAAATTAAAAAAAAAAATCTCTAGAGAAGCTTCGCACGAACTCCCAAAAGAACATCGAGTACATCACAACTGATATTCAGGGATGTTTTGAAGAAAATTTTGAGTAATTTAAAAAAATCGTGAAGTTCACCCGCAACTATCATGAAGTTCGCTCAGAATTTCCCTGCAGTTCACTCAGAACATGACGGAACATCACGTGACGGAATGTATCTTTGACATAAAGGATGAGACGTAAACAAATATGTCATGTAAAATTAAGTGCTCCGAGACTGAAAAGTTCAAAATTACGTGCGATTGAGCTGAATTTCGCGTCTATTATGACTCAATTTTGTGTCAAAATTGACGCTCGTATATGTCAGTCTCAGAGCACCTAAATTTACATCAATTTTTGTAAGTGTATATCTTAAGATTTACCAGAACTTCACTCAGAATGTTCCTGAAGATCTTACAGAAGTTATTTGAATCTTCCCATAACTTCTTTGAAGTTCCTCTAAAACTTCCCGTAAGCTTCCATGGAACTTCACTGTTGCTCCCTTGGACCTTTCTAGCTCCGTTGGACCATTATTTGATATTTTCTGTGACCTTTTCAGGAGGAGTTCACCTGCAACTCTTCTGAAGTTCCCACGGATCTTCTCAAAAGTTTTGTCTGGACCTTCTCAGGAATTCTCACGGGATTTTTCAAATGTTCCTTGAAGCATGCAGGATTTTCTCTATAACGATGTGAGTCCCATAAGCAACATACGAATCCTGTTGGTCCCAAAGCCGTATTTAAGAAGAGATAGAGCCACCTGTTTCCTGAGCCATGGTCGTTCTGCGTTTCATTGTCCATTGAAAGTGTCAGTTTTACAGAGTAAAGCAAAACAGCCATAATCCGATCATTATTAAGAAAGTAAGATTCTCATAACGTTCCCTTTCTTCCGCTGTTTAGAAACACGTCAACGGTGACAGAGTCAGCTATAAAGGTAAATTCGATGCCCAACCGAGCGAAGGCACGACTGCGAGGATAATGCAGGCGTCGAAGCGGAAAACTGGTCGACAGGAGGCACTACTGGAGTACTTTCGTAAGTACATATTTACTTCTTTCCACTGAAGGATCCTCTCCTTCGGATGTGCCTCAATTTATTTTTATTACACTCGCTGCTCATTTGAATTTAATAAATCACAAATATTACCCGGTCTGTCGGAATGATTAACTGGTTGCACGTTTCTACAGCTGTTGTTTCTGGGTAGATCGAATCTCCATTCTTAGGGGTTGGCACGCACAACCATGTGTGTAGATAGGTGGTACCTTCGGAATGCTGCTCACGTAGATTTCGGTAGTAAATAATCTCCCCTCCATTTTCGCGTGAAGATGATTTGCTGCTCCATTCAAGCGAACGCCGATTGAGATCAGACAAACTTTAATTCCAACCAGCAATTTATAGATCCTGTTGCTTCATAATTGGTATAAATTACTCTCTACTGTTCCCTGGAGCATCGGTGGATAGCTCCACTCCCAACTCATTATTCATAATCTAGCGAGCAAACTGTGTGCAATTGAACTAAACTTTAGCACTTGATTCCGGGGAACACTGAAACTACTACAACCTGCAATGTTCCATGTAGGTCTGCATCCTTTTGTCTACCAGCGATGCGAATGAAGTTGGTGCAATCCGTTTCTATTATCGTTCGTGGAAACTGCAGATTGCAGCAGTAGTTTATAGGGGTTAGTGTACAGCTTTCATCACCATTGCCATTGTTGTTTGTGTTGTTTGGGAGTGTGTGGGATGGGTTATGTCAATTTGGAAACTTTTGCCCGGGAAGTCTAGACGCAGTAATGGCACTCTAGGGAAGCTACTTTGAATGAATTCGATTCGGAAGATTTGTGGAATGATCTGAATGGGTCTTTCGTTGTTTTCTTCCATCGAATCCGTAATCAAATCAAATGTAGGAAACCAAACCAGCGCAGAAGGTTGAATTCGGTGAACCGGCGGTTTGCGCTTCTCAGAATTGAGCAATTTAAAAAATGATCATCCCTAATATCTGTTGACCGTTTAATCTAATAATGAATACTGAGTACAATCAACCGATGGAAACTAACGGCTCACACTGGACTAGCCGATCGGTCCCAAGTACATCGATTAACTTACTCCATTCTAGTCGAAATTCTACACAACGTTTATTTCGATTCGCTATGAAAGTTTGACAGATAAAATGAGGGGTTCGTGGATTTTCCTATGTTTCGAGGGGTGCCTCGATTAGCTTGAGACCGAAGGAAGTATCAGAGCTGAGCCAAAAAATTGAGCACGTTTCTTCGGGACCTTCTGGTCTTAAAGTTACCTCTATGGTACAATCGTGAAGATATTGTAGTGAAGCGGTGCTGGTTTGGAATCAGTTGATTTCAATAACCAGTTACCAAATTTGTAAGTAATATTGTATAATGTTCATAAAAGCTCTAGGTTTGTAGCTGACTCAAATTGATGTCTATTTCATATCTGCTGAAAGAAAGGCTTTTGCCAGCACCTCTCCGTTTATTTTTCAACGGATTCGAGTATGAATATGGCATTAATTCTGGTTTTGAAAGTTAGTGCACAGGTAAAAAGTGAGGTTCCGGGACGCCACTGGTTTACCAATTTTTACCATGAATGCTTAAAAATTGGAAAAAAATCGTAGAACAAGAACTTTTGGTAAAATTTATGAATGCCCTGTGAGCAAGTATACAAAGCAAAGTGCACCGAGTTTTAACATGCCTGCTTTTTAAATTGTATTCCTATTCAAATCATATGTAATTATGAACTCTCAATTTCAAATTCTTACTGTTGATAAATTTTTCATTGTGGAATTCGGGATTTTCTATTTTAATCTTAATTCATTGTTACCCTTCTTACAAAGAAGGGTATAGATATCACTTGAAAAACCGACTATCGATCCGAGGCCCGGAGGGCCGAGTGTCATATACCATTCGACTCAGCTCGACCAGATCGGAACATGTCTGTGTGTGTGTGTGTACGTGTGTATGTGTGTATGTGTGTATGTGTGTGTGTATGTAACGAAATGAATGCGCTCACGTTTCTCAGCAACCGCTCAACCGATTTGGACAAACTCGGCGCCAAATGATAGGTCTTGGGGTCCCATTGAACGCTATTGAACGGTTTTGGAATCGGTGAACCGGTTCCGGAGATATGGCCGGAATAAGATCCGGTGAATTTGGGCCTTCACGCTGGATTTAACGGAAAACGTATTAAAACCATCATGCGACACATCAAATTACTACAGAATTCAAAAATAAGATCAATGCAAGTCGTGTTAAGTGTTTCAGACCACATTGGACACACTTGGACATGTTCCGGGTACCCCGGGGAAGTTGCTTGAATATGAAATGAATTAAAACCCATTAAATCACATTAAAATACGATGATAAGGTGATTGGTAGCCTCACCAAATAGACTACACCCGGATATATTCCGGGTATTATTATTATTATTTATCTTTATTAGGGAGGCTTTCAGCCTGGGGCTGGTTCACCTCCATGATATTCCGGGTACCCCCAGGCAGTGGCGTAGCGTCACTGGATGGCACGGGGGTGGGGGGCTTGGTCACTGATAATGACAATAAAATAAATAAACTTGAATAAGTAAGAAGGGTCTGATCACACCATAGGTGGATAAATTCGGGTTTTTTGATTTGAGATTGGTTTGGAAATTTCGACTCTATTGGGTTTTAATGAGAAATTTAGCAAGCGTATATTAGATGAAAATTATTCATAAGTCTCGCTTATGAAATTCATTTGTATCGTTCATAAGTCGAGCCTTATGAAATTCTTAAGTTTATTTGCTTCAGTGAAGGTTCGTTGGATGACTTAGAAAAAGCTGATCTAAAGCTGCCAGAAAAATTAAGAATTTAGAGGGCGTCAAAACTAAAAATTATTTATGTATACTTACCAACTTCGTTTCTGGCAAACGAATTTGAAATTCCGAGTTCCGAGAAGTCCCTAGAATTTCCTAAAAGTTCTAAAAACTTTCGAGAAATTCTGAGAACTTCAACTATGTTCTGATAAGTTCTGATGACATCCGCGACTATCCTAGATCTTCCGAGAAGTTCTATGAGCTGCCGAGTATTTCTGAGTATCTCCTATATGTCCCGGGTTTTTCTGAGACATTCGGAGAACTTCCCTACCCTAGCGGAATTATCTACCTACGCTCTTCAGCCTTTATCTAGCTAATAAATTATCACACTATTGAAGAAATACTACACATATCCTTATCCATTGATGAGTTATGTAAAGATGTGTGCGTTTGACTAGTACTGTCACATTAATGGCCATTCGCCCATTTTCAACTTCTATTCAATTTTCATACAGCCGTACTCTAGCGGAACTATCCACCTACCCTCTTCAGACCTTTCTCTACCCGGAAAAAAATTACAATACAATTACCATAAAATAAAATACAATCACAACAAAATCTATTACCAACAATCGATCTTATTGTACGTATATTGTACAAGAAATTTTAACATATTGTTATTACAATAGATTTACAATACGTGCCATATAGTAAGAATTTTCAACAATAGAACAACAATACAATTAATGGTAAATGGCTCATCTTTGTTCGGGAAAAAGTGATTTTTCCTATGGTTAAGATACATAACAACCCCCTTGTTCTATTGTAGATTTTCCCATTTACCACAGATTCTATTGTGAAAACAATACATCATATGGTTATTTTATCGTTGTAGACAATATGATTTATTGTAAATACAATAAATTATATTGTATGGTTACAATACATTTCATTGTGCCTTTATGGTTCTTTTTTTTACGGGTAGCTAATAAATTATCACACTAGCTTCATGTTCGAGAGAATTTCCAACCCACTCTTAACCTCCGTGATGTACTGAGAAATTCTGAGAATCCTAGAGCTAGATTCTAGGAGTTCTCAGACCTTTTCGGAAATTTTCAGACCTTTTGGAAAGTTCTTAGACATTTTTGGATTTTTTTGGATCTTCTCGAAAGCTTATGACATTCACAGAACTTCTCAGGAAGTTCTCAGAAAACTCCTCGGAAGTTCTTAGAAATATTCGTAAGTTCTTGGAAATTCTCAAACTTTCGAAAAGTTCTGAGAACTTCTGAAAAATTCCGAAATCTTCTGAGAAGCTCCGAGACCCTTTGAGAAGTTCCACTATAGTCCGGAAAATTCCAAAATGACCCGAGAACTACAGCCATGTTCTTGATATAAAGACTTCTGAGGAGTTTTGAGAACATCTGAGGAGTTTTGGAATCTTCTGAGATTTTTTTGGAGTGCTGAGAATTTCTGAGAATCATCAAAAGGATCCAAGAACTTTTTAGAAGATCCGAGAACATATTTTATGTTCCAAGAACGTCTAAAACGTTCCGAGAACTTCTTAGAACGTTCCAAGAGTTTCCAAAAGCTTCCTAGAAGTTCTAAGAAGCGATGTTTTCAGAAGTTTTGAGATCTTCCAAGATGTTCTGAGAATGTACAAGAACTTCTGAAAAGTTCCGAGGTCTTCTTAAAAGTTCTGTGAATTTCCGAAAACTTTCAAAAAAATTCGGAAAGGTTTAAATAATTCCAAGAACTTACGAGAAGTACTGAGAACTTCCAAAAAGTTCCGGGAACCTCTGAGAATTTCCGAGATGTTCCGAAAAATACATAAATGATCCGAGAACTTCAGCCTTGCTCTAAATCTTAAGACTTCTGAGGATTTCTGAGAACATCTGAGGAGTTTTGAAAACTTCTGTGATATTTTTAGGAATGCTGAGAATTACCGAAAATATCCGAGAACTTCTGAGAAACTCCAAAAAGTTCCGAGATCTTCTTAGAATATCCAAAAACTTTTTAAAAGCCTCGAGAACATCCTTCAAGTTCCAAGAATGTCTGAGACGTTCCGACAACTTCTCAGAAAGTTCCAAGAGTTTCCAAAAACTTCCTTGAAGTTCTAAAAATGTCTGCGATGTTCTCAGAACTTTTGAGAACTTTCAAGATATTCTGAGAATTTACAAGAACTTCTGATAAGTTCCAAGATCACCTTAAAAGTTCTATGAATTTCCGAAAGCTTTCGA